CCTGATGTTATTATCTTCATTACAAAAAATCAATTTGAGGGCTGGCTCTTTAGGGTTAGGGGAAGGGAAGGAGCTTTTTATAGGATTTAAGATTATGCTTCTTCTGGATTTGATTTTAAATGTCTAATGTAAAATAGACACTATAGATGCCGATTCTCTCTTGAGGTGCCCAGGAAGAGTGAGAGTGCTGTCCCACACCAGAGCCCCAAAGAGTGTGCTCTTGTCAAGAGCACCCATGAGAAATATACCATGTTTGGTATTTTGTGTGATAATATATATGTTATATGTTCATGCTTTTGTATCTATTATTTAAAATTACAGAAAAAAATCCTATGCAAAGGCTCTTAACTAAGATGTAGTAAATTTTGTACTGCCCATGCTTTTAACACAGTATTGATTTTCTAGCATTATAGAACATGTTCAGGCAGATTCCACATAATGGGGTGCTTCATCAGTATAATTCTAATTTAAGTAGTTTTATTTATGTGTATGAGTATTTTGTCTATATGTATGTAAGTGAACCTCTGTGTGCATATAATGCCTCTGGATACTAGAAGAGGGTGTTAGATCCCCTGGAACTGGAGTTAAAATTGTTAGCTGCCATGTGGATGCTAGGACCTGAACCCTGATCCTCAGCTAGAGCAGCAAGCACTCTACTACTGGGCCATCTCTGCAGCCCATAATCTGTATTTTATATATATTGATCTTTTAAGTTATTCAATTCAGAAACCTTGCTGTTATCTTCAACTCCTTTATTTTTCTCAAGTCCTTAGCCAACTGGCACTTCTTGGGATATTTGTGTAGATACATGAGAATGACTACATTTTAGCACCTCCACTCCTCACCTAGTTCAAGTTATATCGACTTTTACCTCATTTGTAATAATTCCTTTCTGACCTTTTTTTCTGCCGTCTTCCCTTTCAATCTACTCTCAATTTAGTGGTCAGTGTGATCTTATTAAGATGAGATTCTCTTCTTTCTGCCAAATGTCTGTGCCTCCAGGACCATATAGGATTCATCTGCAGTTTCCTTATCTGACTTCATTTCTTAGTCCTCCTTTCCCCTGTGGCCTCAAAGGCTGCACATGCACCCACGCACGGCCTTTGTCATTTTCACGCCTATTTTCATATCCACACACCTCAATCTCACTACTTCACTTGTTTTGGTATTTTCTTCAGATGTTGCCTTTGCAATGAGGTCTCTAATAGACATTCTTCTTAAAAGCTCAAGTTCTGAACTTCCCTAACATCCTTGCCCTCCTTAGCTAACTAAAGTACTTACTACCTTCCACTTTATTTTACCTACCCATGCAGATGCAGTATGTAGTAAAAGAAATGGTTGTTAGTTTTGTGATAGCCTCTTTACTTTTAATTTTTATAATAAATATATTGAGATTTAGTTAATATATAAATTAATGTAATTCATATATAATTCAATATAATTTATTTCTTTTCAGTATTTTCAGAATGTTGTAATCATTACCATAGTCAGTTTTAGAACATTTTCACCATCTCAAAAGATAGCCCATAGTTGGTAGTAGTCACTGTCCATTTGTCACTTCCTCTACTGCCAGGTCACCACTAATCCACTTCTGTCTCTAGATGCATTCATTCTAGATGCACACACATTGTAGCATCATATTGTATGGATTTCTTGTGACTGACTGCTTTCACTGTATGTTTGCCAATTTCATGCATGTTGTAGCATATATCCGTACTTCTTTTTAAAAGCCAAATGATACGCCATTGTCTGGATATTCATTTGCCTTTTAAATATATCTTAATATTCTTTGATATTGACTCTAGATCCTTAGCAGATTCATGATTTTCGAATCATTCTGGAGACCATCTTTGTTCTTGATGGTGACTTTTGAAGCATAGAAGTTTTTTTATTTGGATGAATTTCAGTTTATTTGATTACTTGAACTTTTCATAGTGTCTAAGAAACTAGTGCTTAATCCATAGTCATGCTTTGCTCCTATTTTTTGCATTATCTTACGGTTTTATTAATTAAATTTAGATCCACTTGGAGTTAATACTGTGTGTGTGTGTGTGTGTGTGTGTGTGTGTGTGTGTGTGGTAGATTAAGTAGCTCTTTTGTATATGGCTGTATCATTGTACTTGGATGTCACATTGTCCCAAAATGACTATAATAGAAGATTGTCTTACCAACATCCCACCCCATGACATTATCTGGACTCCCTTATCAAAACTCATTTGACTTATACGTTTGAAGGTTTGTCTCTAGACTCTTGAAGGTTAAGTTACATTTCATTGATTATGTTAACTTCTTAGACATTGCAGTCAGAAGTCACTGTAGCAGGTACGTTTTTTTTTTTTTTTTTTAAACTATTCATCTTGCCCAGGCTGTGTTCTTATTAGCTGAGAGTTGCAATAACAGTTTTGGAAGGTTGTTTTCTTGTGAAAAGCTTTCAAGAAAGGCATGTAACTTCTTAAATCACTGCTTAATTTGATGTGTGTGTGTGTGTGTGTGTGTGATTTTTTTCTATTTGCCTTTATGTAGTTATACGATTTGTAGAAAAACCAGAGTATGCCTTTATGTAATTATGTCAAAGTGTTACTCATGGCTTTCCTTCCCTCTCTTTAGTCTTCTTGACTCTCTATGAGTTGTCTGCTTTGAATTCTTATTTTTCTCTTCAGGAGCTCTTTTGAGCCATAGTAGAATTTCAGGGCAAGGTAATTATTTGTATATTAGCATGTGGATTAATATGAACTTTAAGCATTGCATAGGCTTACAACCTAAGTGCTGTTCTGCATGTAGTCTAGAGATAATGGAGCCAGCTGGCAATCATCTTGTGGTTTGACTGGGAAGTAGGACCACACAGGTGCCTCTTCACTTCAGGCAATTAATTTTAGATGCTGAACTTCTGATCTTAGAGGCTGGAAATTCTTTTAATAGATCAGGAAGGTAGAAAATTGATTCTCATTGATGTTGTGTAAAGATTGATAGGCAGTTCTATTGGCTTCCTAGTCAGTCAAGTAGGTCATAGTGAACCCTAACCCAGTCATATCTTAAAATTCCTAAAACACAGATTTAACCTGATCATCCAAAGGCAATGGTACATACTTACTGATCTATATGGTTTGCCCTTAAAAGTACTGCTTTCCTATTTTTTTTTAACACTTACTATGATCATGATTATTTTTAAAATATTTTATTTATTTTTATTTTATGTGTGTGAGTATATCGCCTGTATGTAGGTAGGGTCACCCATGTTGTGTTGTGCAATGCTCTTGGGGGGTCAGAAGAGAGTATCAGATCCCCTGGAGTTATGGGTGGTAGGTAGCTGCCCTGTGGGTGCTGGAAATTGAACCCAGGTACTCTGTAAGAGCAGCCAGTGCTCTCAACTGCTGAGCCATTACTGCAGACCCTGATCAAGATTTTTTTTTAAGACATTTCATTTGAATAATAAATATAAAATTTCTTTAGAATAGTAAAATAAAAGGACATATTCTCTTGGGCTTGCTATTTTGAGGCTGTTAATGTAACAGATTTATGTACTGACAGTGCATGTATGTACGTAAAAGACTAGTGGGTGCTATTTGTTTTTGTTACTGCTTTTGGCTCTCCTTCCAGGTTTTTTTTTTTTTACCCTCAGGGCTAATAAGTAATTGGACATAACTAAACATGCTAACAAACAGAAACTTGTTATTCAGTGATAAATGTTGAAAGTCTCCTGTGCATCCCACAGTGTAATTGCTGCTGACAAAAGAAAGGTGAAGTCACAGGCCCTGTCTTTGTCCAAGGACTAGATATTATAAATAATGTTCCTTGTAACTTTATATAATTCCACCAGCAAATCAGTTTATATTGCATGTTACTCTGAAAACATAATAGTTAATATTTCTATTAAAACAAGCAAAATATGAGTGCCTACCGTGTGCTAATGGAGTTTGACTTTTGAAGAGCTGCGCAGCTCCTTTGAGGAAGCAGCAGTCAGGCAGAGATCTTAGAAGGAAGTTGGCTAGGCTCTGGGGTAGTGAAAAAGCTTTACAGAACATGTACCTCCAGATCCAAAAGGGATGGCATGGTGCAAGGCAAAGATTGAGAGTGAGGCAAGGGCAAGCCTTCCAACAACCTGTATACTGTACCCTACGGCTTTATGCCCAAAGACATTGAATGTTTTTTAAGTAAAAGCTGCAGTTTTTACGCAGCCTAGAGCCAGGTCCTTAATTAGAGGCACATTAGCTCTTACTAGAAGATTATTAAATTTTTAAGTTTTCTTTAAAGCACTCGAACTTGAGTGTGCTTGGAAATTTCCTGGAAGATCCATTACAGCAAACTTACCCTCTTGGAGATTCAATGGGTTTGGATGGCACTCAGCATCTTTGGAGTTCCCAGAAGATGTGAAGACTGGTAATACTGTCTATAGTCTGGTGGACCAGATTTGAATAGCTATTAGAGCCATAAAATTAACTCACCTCTATTTTGACATTGTTTCTTCAGATTATAAACAGCGTAGGATCATTTTTAATCATAATAACCAAGAAATATCTTTTCTTTGTTTTGTGAGAGTTGTATTTTACAGAAACCATTAAAGAATATGTAAATTTTAACTTGCCTATGTATATTTTACATACGAGATACACAGCTTCAGGCGTGATGCAGTAAAAAGTAGTATTGAAGATGAGTGTGGTAGTACATACCTGTAATCCCAGCACTTGGGAGGCAGAGGCAGGCAGATCTCTGTGAGTTCCAGGCCTGCTAGGGATGCATAGTGGGTCCCTGCCTCAAAAGAAAAAGAAAAGGAGAGGAGAGGGGAGGAGGAGGGAAGAGAAGATAAGAGGAAGAGAAGGAGAGGGAAGGCAAGGCAAGAGATGAAGCTATATCAAATGAGAAAAAATGTGAAAGAAAAATTTGTGACGTTTTAAGGAGTGAGATTTTGGAAGTTAGGTGAATGCAATGTGAGATTCTTTAATGGCATTTTAGTAAGAATAGTAAGTCTGTCTTTTCTTAAATTATTATTATTTTTTTTCTAGATCTAATCACTTGTTTGGACACTATATCCAATTTTTTGGAACCTGAGTTCAGGTATGAGCTTAATTGTGATTTTGTCTGTGTAGAAGGCACCACTGTTCTTCATGCGCTTCTTCCTCATTCTTTATGCTGAAAGTTAACATACAGTGTGTGCAGCCTAGCCAGTCATTGTTCTGAGACTCCAGTGGAATAGCACTTCTGAAAGCCATCTGGTTGCCATGTCTAAACTTTGCTTTAATTGTAGCATTTACATGTCCAAGACATATATATATATATATATAGTTTTAATGTGCCATCACAATGTTCTAATATGACTTCACAATGTTCCAATGTGATTTCACTATGCTTCTATGTGACATCACAGTTCTCCAATGTGCCAACACTATGTCCCCAAGTGCAGGCGGCTGCAGGCAGGTGCAGGCGGGCTCTGTGCCAAGCTGCGGGAGGCTCGGGCCAGCTGCGGAGGCTCTCCCTGTGCTCGCGGGTCGTTGGCCACCGATCCATGCGGGCAGGGGGAACAGAAGCGGCGAACGGGGTCAGGACGGCCAGTGAGTGCTGACGGGAGGGAGTGCTGACGGGAGACAGCTCTTCCGGGGAGACTGATCACAGGCTGGTCCCAGGTGCAGTGAAACAGCAATGACACACACTCCAGGCAGATTCAGTGATTCAGCTCCATTTATTAGTGGGGAAAGTAGAGAATTTATAGTGTGGAGGCAGTAGCAAAAGCCTCAGTTGATAGGTGCTCATAGTATGCTTTATTTACATGTGGCAGTGGGATTCTGTCTTCCAGACTGTCAGACAGTGCCTGATTATCATATAGAAAAAACCTGCAGGTAGTTTTTGCTTCAGGTAACTATGCTAAAGGCCATGTTTCAGATAAGGCCAGGCATCTTCACTTGGCGGCACTTTCAAAGTGAGCCAGGAAGAGAGCAGGAGGCCCCCTGCTGAAAAGGGGAGTCTCTCCATCAGGCGCTGAGCCTCTCAGGGCTATCCGGACATGGAGAAACTGCAACCCTAACAGCAGGGTTCCCCAAGTAGACCAGGCTGGCCTTGAACTCACAGAGATCCACCTGCCTCTGCCTCCCGGGTGCTAGGATTAAAGGTGTGTGCAATCACACCCAGCCATAAATATATTTTTCTTTTATTTATTCTTTTTGTGTTAAAGGTATATGAGACAGGGTCTGTGTAGCCAAGGCTGACTATGAACTCCCTATCTAGCCTAGGCTAATGTTAAACTCAGGATCCTCCTGGTTCTGCCTCCCAAATGCTGTATTGGCATATACCACCATGCCCAGCAAAAGTACGAATTTTAAATGCTTTAAAAGTAGAACTACTTGGGACTAGAGAGATGACCCAGTGGTTAAGAGCACTGACTGCTCTTACAGAGGACCTGGGTTCGATTCCCAGCACCCACATGGCAGCTACAAACCGTCCTTAACTCCAGTTCCAGGGGAATCCGAAGCCCTCTTCTGACCTCCACGGCATTGCATGACATGGGTGCACTCACATACATGCAGGCAATATACTCATGGGGGACAAAAGCAGGTGAATCCCTGTGAGGTCTAGGCCAACCTGGTCTGCTGCAAGTTTCAGGACATCTGGGGCCACAGGGAGATCCTGTGTCAAAAGAAAAAAAAAAAAAAAACCAGCCAAAAATAAAAGTAAAAAAGTAGAATTATTTATTCTTTTAAATCTGGCAAAACTGTTAGTAAAATTCTTTTCTTTTTAAACTGTATTTTTAGTAATATTTTTTATTCCTTGAAAGTTTCATACATTTTACCATGTATATTGATCATAACCATCCACCACTATCTTCCTCTATTCCCCTAGACCCTTGTACCCCATAAGAAGTTCATGTTCTCTCTCTCTCTTTTTAGTTCTTATTAATAACCCCCAAAGTCCATAGTGCTGCCCATATGTGCATGAGTGTGTGGCCATCCACTGGGGCATGAGCAGCCTACAAGTGATCACCTCCCCAAAGGGAGTGGCTCTCCTTGCCTCAGCAGACCTCAGCTGCCAGTAGCTCCTCTGGTAGGAGGTGGTGGTGCAGTGAGGTCTTTCTTTTTCTTTTCAAAAAAAAGGCATAAGATAGTTTAGGCTATAATAATATCTACAGTGTTCTTACCCACGTAGCACTTTACCGTACAGTTTCCCTGCATAGACAAGGATTTCCTTTTACTTGATTTCACATTTCTATTCTTGGCTGGCTTTATTATGTAAGTCTAATCCTCATATTTGGTTTTTTTGAAATGCAAGTCTAGTAATTTTCTACTTTAAACTCTTTATTGTAATTTTTTTTTTTTTAAGTCACACAGATTCCCTAGCCTGATTTTCAGACTCCCTGAATAGCCCTGGTTTTCTTTTCAGCCTCTTGGCATACATTCTTTACAGTCCTCTCAGGGTGGTAAATCTTTTCGTTACCCATCTCACTAACTTCCATCTTGCTGCCACTCCCCAAAGGAACCTTAATTTTATCTTCAAGAATGGTTCTTGGGACTGTAGAGATGACTAAGAAAGTAAAGTGCTTGCTGTACAAATATGAGGGTCCTGAGTTCAATCTCCCAGAATCCACATAAAAATAAACACCTATGGTGTTCAAGGTGTCCTGATCAACAGTGGTGGAGGGCTCAGCTGGCCCCACTGCACTCTCTAGCACTGTCATCTCCACATACATCCAAGCATCTCTTACCCATCTCCTGGGCTGCGTATTATCTTCTTCATATTGTCCCAGCTTCCACTGATGATTTTTTAAATTATTTTTATTTTATGTGTATGAGTGTATTGCTTGCATGTACATAAGTATACCTGTGTCATGCAGTGCCCATGGAGGTCAGAAGAGGGTGTCACATTCCCTGGAACTGGAGTTATGGATGGTTGTTAGTTACCATGTGGATCTTGGGAATCGAACCCAGGTCTTCTGAAAGAGCAGCCAGTGCTCTTAACTGCTGAACCATCTTTCCAGCCCCTACTAATGACTTTTTACAATCTCTTTCTTTCTAGAAGCTGCAATAACTCTGTTTAAAATTACATCTCAGGTTGTGTATGTAAGCCATCACAATCCTTTGCTGAGTTCTTATTTCTAGAAGTAATTCCATATTTCTTAGCCAATAAGGTTTTTGAACCCTGCTCTCTCTTTAGCCTTCTTTTGCTCACTGCACTTCTACAAGCACACACCAGACCATCCTGCCTCAGGGTCGTGCCCTTCCTCGTGTCTGGTGTACATTTGCCACCACTGACTTACTGCAGCAGAGTCCACCACCTCACATCCCTATTTGAGTTCCCCGACTTAGGCTATCTCAAGTCCTGAGAGAGAAGCTCTGTTCTGTAGCAGGTGCACAGTTCTTTGCTTTCTTTGTCTGTAAAAAAAAAAAAAAAAAAAGTAATAGTACCATCCACATGAGATTCTTGTGTGGATTACCTGAAACACTCCTGGTGCTGCCTAGTACATAACAAGTTTGCTGAATGTGTATATGTTACTAAGTTTCAGTTCTCCCAGTTATTTCAGAGTGCCTTTTTCCCCCATAAATATTTGTGTAAATACTGGTTAAATATGTTCCACTTACACCACTGGAATGTGGACCTGGAGGTGACATATAGTTAGCCTTTGTAAGCCATGTAGGCCTAGCACAGCCTAATACTTGACAGATAACATAATAGGTATACACATAAATGTGTGGAACATGGTGAGTAGGTCTTAGAGTAGAAAGATGTCTACTATTCGTGATGAAGTAAAATAAGAGTTAGAGAATATGAGAACATTTTTGTAAATGTGTTCAGCATGTATGGAAGAAAGTCTGAAAGGGCTTTTTAGAAAGGGATAGCTCTGTAAATGAAGTGAGGTACTTACAGTGAACTGAAAAAGCACATGGGATTTTTTTCGTGGTATTTTCCCCCCACAAAGTGCAGCATTATATAATCTCTTACTTGTTCTTGTTTCTCAGTAAGTACTGCCCAGCTGGCTGTCTACTTCCTTTTGCTGAGATATCTGGAACAATTCCTCATGGATATAGAGATGTGAGTTAAATATAGGCTTATTTCATGTTGCGTTGCCCTTTTTTTTTTTTAAACCCTAAAATGCTTGGCATGCTGCTTGGTGCAGAGAGGGAGGGAGGGAGGGAGAGAGAGAGAGAGAGAGAGAGAAGAGGGGAGGGAGAGGGAGAGGGGAGAAAGAGTCTTTTCGTTTTAGAAATGATGTCTTTTATAGTATATTTCAATATAGATGTCACTATATTGTAGTATACAGATGTCTCTAGGATATAACAGTATACTTTAATATGTTACAGTATACAGATGTCTTTATAATATATTATAGTAACTCTTGTGCTAAAATCTGTTTTGTTACAATAAGCTATGATTATGATAAACTATCCAGATCTGTTAATTTATTAGAAAGTAGACGTACCTTACTTATGAATAATCAAAAGAAAATTCTTTTTTTTTTCCTTTTTCAAGTCTTCACCATTGTGTCTGGCTGGGGTACATGCAGGAGTAGTGTCAAACATTTTGGGTGGCCAAATCAGCGTTGTGATTAGCAAAGGCATCCCATACTATGAAAGTTCTTTGGCCAACAACGTCACATCTGTGGTGTAAGTACACACATCGTTTGTAATAAGCATGCTGGGGGAGGGGCAGGGACTGGCTAGATCCCAGCAAGATCACCCTTACCAGTGTTGGTGAAGCAGTGTTACATAGTGTAGTCTCACATGTGTGTTCTCAAGGTCTGTGTTTTCAGAATAAAGTCAGTAAGTAGTGTACTATTTTGGCTCTTTCTGCTTTAAAAAGGTAGTCGTTTGGAAGAATGATTTTTTTTTTTTGCTTTTCTCGGTTTTGAAATAGCCTGGAGTAAGACTATTTCCAGACTAAGAGTCTGGGAATTTGACATTTTCTTTTAAAGCTCAAGAAGACATAACTACTGTGTTCTTTGTAGTCTGTGCAAACCAGACGACAAACGGTAGGTCGCAGTTAATTGAAATACTGTGACTATAAAATTAATTTTGGTGTGAAACAGGTAGTATTTTTGTAAAACTCATTCTCAACCCAAAAGAAGACTGATAAATGTCTTCTCTTGGTCTCTGCGCTGGTTTCTACAGTGTTCGGCTGTTTTATAGAACATACATGAGGCAGGAAGTTGAAACAGTAAATAGTGGTACAGCATTAGCAGTCTGTTTCCAAAAATCTTGCTCTTCCACATGCTCAGTCCTTCAGACATGTATAAAACCTAAATGCAATCAGCTTCCCTTCAGAAAGAAAGAGCATGGTCCATACCCAAGACAGCAAAACTTCTGTAAAAATCCAGTCAATTACTAGGCATGCAGGCACATGCCTATTATGGGAGAATTCCGAGTTTGAGGTCAGTTTGAACTATATAATGAAACTCTGTCTCCAGAAACAAACAAGAAGATCCAATAGTATTTAGCCTTTATGAACTACATGTCTTCCACTTTTTGTTTTGTTTTGTTTTATTCACAGCTTTTTAATATTGTAGAAAACATTCATAGCCTACTGGCCATAAACAGAAACCATGCTACCTTTCTTTTGTTTTCCTTTATGTGGTTTTATACACATCTTTTCTTTCTTTTCTGTATTTTACATTTAGAGAACAGTTTGGTGATATATGTAGTTTCTCTTTCAGACTTAAAATACACAGCTAGGAGCTGGGTGTGGTGGTACACACCTTCAGTCCTTACACTTTAAAAACCAGGAGTTTGAAGCCAGGCCGAGCTGTGAAGTGAATTCAGAGCCACCCTGGGCTAACAAAAAAATACAGATAATTTACATCCTTTTGTAACCATTTGAACATTATATTAATGTCAGGAGTGTACTCTGAACACCATCCTCCAGGTCACCTGGAGTCTCAAACTCATGTCCTGTAACAGGGTGGGCTCCTGGCTTGTCTCCTTCCATTCTCATCAGCATGCCCATTCTGCTCCTTCCTCTGAAGTCCAGTGTGATGCTGAGATGTACTCTCAGACATGTCGATCACCTCCAGAGGAAATGCAGTCTCTTCATTGGTAGCCAGGACACTGAGCCTTGCCTCATTCTCTGAAAATACACCTCTTCATTTACTGTCACCAAAATAAAAAATGTTTTATCAGTTAATTTATTTCATAAAGAAGTAAACATTAAAAGTGAGATGGGCACATTAATACCTACTGTCATATATGAAAGTAGGTGCTAGACTTGTAGAAAATTTTGTTTATGGTGATTTCAAAAATTGTTTTGTTTAAAAATTAAGGTTTTTTTTTTTCCCTAAGCTTAATACCAGTTGTCTAATCTGTAACCATGAAATCTTCTTAAGCAATAGGAAGAAATTAAAAGAGAAGGTTCCACTGTGACAAATATGAAGAATCTCTGTGTTAATGTGACTATCACATAAGAATGTTTTTGTCTTTCAGGGGTCACTTATCTACGAGTCTTTTTACATTTAAGACTAGTGGTAAGCATTGCATGAATTTATGTCATCATTATTTGTGTAATAGCTAACATCTTTTGAGCACTGTCAGGCACTGTGTAACTGCTGGGGTTTTTGTCCTTTCTCATTTGTTTTTGATGACACTGGGAACAAAACAGTGACCTAATTATGCAAACAATAGAATAAATTGGAGGTTCTATATTTATAGGAGAATTATCTCCTATACAAGTATGGTTCCTTAGAGAACTTGATTTGAACTTCTCTGAGGAAGGAATTGATTCATCCAACAGAAACTCTGGCTGAGTGGGGCTTTTCATTGCTGGACACTGTCCTGGTGCTAGTGCTGCACAGCAGGGAAAGTAAACAGATTCCAGCCTCCGGCAGATTACATTCTGGTAGTGAGACAGTGATAATAAATAATTGTTCACACTGTACTGTTTGTGATCTGGTAAAAGATGTAGAAAAAATAGGGAAAACAGGAGGACTGGCCTAAAGCTTCAAGTAGGTCACAGAAGGCCCTTCAGAGGATGTGCCTCGTGAACAAAGCATACAAGAGGTCATGAACAAGTAGCCTGCCAGCTTGAGTTCCCCAGAGAAAGGATAATGTATATCCACAAACATACAGCTATTGCCTATAAATGGATATAGTCCACCCTCAAATCCATGGCTTCCACACAAGATTCAGAGGAAACATTTCTGATCTTGACTACATACAGACTTTTGTTTTAGTGTTGTTATTCCCTAGGCAATATACTGACAACTATGTGAATCACATTTTTTTGGCATCATAAGTAACCTAGAGATGATTTAAAATAGATATGTGTCAGTACTGTACCATCGTATATAAGGGATCTGGTCATTTGCAGATTTTGGTACTCACATGGGGTTCGAGGTGTCCTGGAACTAGTCCCTCACAGACATTTAGGGATGAGTGCTTGTTCTTTGGTTTCTGATAATGCACAAAGACCACCCAATAGGCACTTTCCTAACTATGCAACAGTAAATTTACAGCAAGCACATTTATAGATGGCACATTTATAGATATTTTGAATTTACCTGTAGGAACCAAATTGACTTTCCTCTTTGTTTGAGGTTGTTATGGAACACTGGGGATGGAATCTGGTGTGATTGCTGATCCTCAGATAACAGCGTCATCTGTGCTGGAGTGGACTGACCACATGGGGCAGGAGAACAGCTGGAAACCAGAGAAGGCCAGACTGAGAAAACCTGGGCCTCCCTGGGCTGCTTTTGCCACTGATGAGTATCAGTGGTTACAGATAGACCTGAACAAGGAAAAGAAGATAACAGGTAAAGAGATGTGGCTCTCTACAGCAGCTGATAGCACAGATTTTATTTGGAAACCTCATGACACCTGAAATTTTTATAGAAAATTAGGTCACTGAAAATTATATGGTTTCAGTTTTTTTCACTGGGCAGGGACGGGCTAGAGAGATGGCTTAATTGTCAAGAGCACTGACTGCTCTTGCAGAGGACCTGGGTTTGACTCCCAGCACCCACATGGCAGCTAACACCCATCCATAACTCCAGTTCCAAGGGAATCCAGTGCCCTCTTCTGATCTCCAGGGGCATTATACGACACAGGTACACTTAACATACATACAGGCAATACACTCATATGTGCACACAAAAAATTAATAAATAAAATATTTTAATATTTCTGAGGTTAATTTTATAAAATATGACAAAATAGTTTGAATTTAATTCATAGTAATTCATCTTTCATTTTAATGATTCCTTTAAGACAGAGCTTCGTAAAGTGATCTTAAGACTTATAATCATTTCTTAATAGTCATTAAGAGAAGTTTGTAGTTAAAGGAGAGTCCATTTTAAGAGCTCTAAATAATAGCCCACATGTACGGGGTATAAATTTAACTTAGGGGAATTTATCAGTGGATAATTTAGTCAGTATAATTTAGTTTAGGTAATTTTATTAAAAGATTTGTTTTGGTGCTGAAAATAACACTAATCATGTTTAATTTGTTCATTTCCAAGAAATCATTCTTATTCAATGCTTGAAATATATTTTATAATGATAAGAACACAAGCTGCCAAAGTACAATAGGTCTTTTCTTGTGTGTGTCCATAATTCTTCATCTCTCTCCATAAACCAAGGCTTTAGTAACTGTTGTAATGAAAACTTGCCCTTAGAGATGGAAATAAGCCAGGCAGATGTGTTTTCAAGGTGCATCACCAGTGCTTATACAACAGTGCTGAGCAGTTTGGGAGTTTGACCCTTTGCACTAATGAAAGCAATCTGTTCCCCAGGTATTATAACCACTGGATCCACCATGGTAGAGCACAATTATTATGTGTCTGCCTATAGAGTTCTGTACAGTGATGATGGGCAGAAGTGGACTGTATACAGAGAACCTGGTGTGGAGCAGGACAAGGTAAATGGGCCTTTGCTGAAGCTCTCCAGTTTAGGCATAGCTGTTAAATACTAGGTTTTCTTACACTGCTCTCTTCTGGGTACTTTAGCTAGTATTAGTTATTGTCAGTGATTCTAGGTCCTTGTGTGATAGTGTTAAATACTGATTTTTTTTTATGTTTTTTTGTTTTCTTGAGACAGGGTCTCCCTGTAGCCCCCACTGGACTGGAACTTGCTAAAGAGATCTGCCTACCTCTGCCTCCCAAGTGCTGGTATTAAAGACCTGTACTACCGTGCCCAGCTTGTCACTGAATTTTTATCTAAATCATTTAGCTACTAAAGCAAGAAGTTCTAAAAAGTTACTTTCAATTTGTTATCTTTATAAAATTTTTCTTAAAAATCCACCAAAATGATGGATGGTTGACTTTGTTCCAAATTTCTACTTGTAGACAAAAGTGGAGAAAGACGAAGAAGCTGAAGACTAAAGTACATTAAAGATTTTTAAGATCACCACACCAGTTTTTATCTTAGCAAACTGGTGGGTTTTTTCTATTTGCAGAACTTCTATGATGTCTAATGATAATTATGACATCTTTGTCTTAGTTAGCAAAAGATTGTGGAGACATTGGCATGAACCCAAGGAGATGGTCAATGTAAAGAGTGGTGGAAATACTTCACCCAGGGTGTGGCCCATTCATAGGCTGCTGGCCTCTGACCATTGGGAGGACGTGTAAGTGGAAGAATCTCTGTGCTCAAGAAAGGCCACTGCCTACCTGGTGGAAAATTCTTTCAGTGAGACTTTGGGTGTTTTTCCCTCAAATATTTTCCTATCCCACTTCTAATTTTATAAACATTATGGCTCTTGCAGCTATCTCATAAGTCACTGATGCTTTCTTAAAGAAAAAAAACACCTTTTTAGCTTGAATATTCTC